AATGAATATACTGACTGAAACTTAATTTTGTTTACGTCCACTGCAATTCTTTTGTGTTCTTTTCACTTGTTGAGTTTCAATCAAAACATTTTTAAACATTAAAATCGATAAAAAGCTCAAAGCTATTACAAATAATTGAACTTTTCAACTCTTACTTATTGAGGAAATCACGACACATAAACTTATTATAAATGTAGGTTGATATGAACTGATAGAATTAAATCACTTGTTGCATCACAGGAATTTTTATTGTTCTTGCTGACCCTCCCCCCTCCCTGGTCGTCATATGTGAACGGCCCCTACTGTAAAAATGCGAATTATTGCTGATGCATCGTATGACATATTTTGTACTTGAACTTAAAGAGTCGAATAATTTTTTATATTTAATTATTTTTTTCCATGAAACTGGCTTTTTCTGTGTCATTAAAGACTTCATTAACAAATGCATTTTATAAATCGGTTTGCAGTAAAAAATAAAAGTCGACGAGAAATGAATTAAATAATGCAAATTGCTAATGAATTCGGTTTTTTTTGCTTGAAAACGCTTTTTTTGCGGAAATTATGTTTCTTAAAACTTTATTTTATTATTATTTTGTTTGTTTGATGAGAATTATTCTGTTGTTGATTCACAATGTTGAGTTGGGTTTGTCCAAATCACAGCAATTAATGTGTTACTACACAGATCTTTTTTAGCTTTCGGCTATGATTAATGCAATTAAAACTAATAATTATTTTTTTAAATTTATTGTTTGAAGGAGAGTAGAGGGGGGGGGGATTTAAAAATAATTCGATTAAATGTTTAATGAAGATGCACCTTCTTATTTCAAACAAAGTTATGATTGACTATTGGATGGTGTTTTTGGTAAAACATAGTCATAGTCTAGTTGCTAGCTTAAAGTCGATTAAATCCGAGTCAATTCGATGACTTTATAAATCTTTCAAGTTAACTCCTATAAGTCATAAAAATCAATCTTACTAGCTACGCACCTATATTGCATGACTATTTTGATATCTTTAATTTAATAAACGTTGAAAAATCTTTTTAATTGATCAACAAGCAAAATAAACAGTCAAAGCATGAAGCTGTTGAATCAAAAGCCTAAAAATACACAAAACATTTTATTCGTTGTCACTTTTTCTGCAAATCTACCATTTAATCCCCTGATTTCAATTTTCACATCGCAAAATTTTCTCACGACAATTTCACTGTTTACGAAAAAAATACATTTTTTTCTGAAATAATCCAAAAATTCTCAAAGATTCAAGCGCATTAGCAAGGCTTTGTAGGTTTAAATTCCTAGCCATCATATTTTCATGTCTGAAAATAATTACAAAGTAGAGTGGAAAAATCTAATTGGGAGTGTGAGGGACATTCATTTGTTATGTCTGGAATGCTTTAGAACGAAGGAGGTGGGTGAGGGTTGGGGAGGGGGAGAGGGTTGGGGAGGGGGAGAGGGAGGGTTGTTTTTTGAATTCTTCTTCAAAAAATTCAAGCGAATTGATAAACTTTTCAAAAAGGGGATGGGGAGTTGACCCTGAAAAACCTCCCCTGGCTACGTCCCTTGGGACATTCATTTTGTCATGTCTAGAATATTTTTTTTGGGCAGCTTCTTAATTTTTTGTACAGTTTTAAAGAATTCAAACATTTAAAATAAGTACTTAATTTTACTAAATTATATAAAATCTTTAATGAACGTCACTTGTGAACGTCCTTAATAAGTTACAATATATTCATTTATTTATAGTTCAATAAAAGAGATAAAATTGGGATAAAATTATTTTTCTCCAGCTTCCATATAATCTCTACTGATAAAGTTTTATATGTGCTAAAAACATCCATGAAAAGTATCATGCCAACCAACTCAATTTTATTGATCATTAAAAACTTTTATCTTTATTAATTTTTTTTTCATGATGATTATTGATGACTTATTTCAATTCTTTGTAATACTACAGACACAAACTTTTGAAGAGATTTAGTGTCAAATTAAAATTTAACTTTTTGACATTAACAATGGAAGTAAAAAAAAATAATTTTTTTATCATTAAAACTTGTGAAAATTAAAAGAAATTGTAATAGATGTAGATTGTTGTCAAAAAGATAAGTTTAAAATTAATCTTCATTGATTTTTTTAATGTAAATTTGTATCATCATTTTAAAATGAATGAATTTGATTTGATTGCAGTCAACTCCTGCCTTCGACGGTTAGATTTTGACTCCCCAAACTCAGGCTTATGTTTGTTATTTTTCCTTTATTGATATTATAGCTAATTCATCCGTACTTTTCATATCCATCAACATTTCCCGCCATTTCTCAAAGATTTCACACAAGGGGATAACAAGAAGGTTTAAAAATTATGATTTCAAATTATTTTAAAGAACTTAAACTTATTTCCAATCATGTTGTTTTCCCCTTTTACATCCGATTTCTTCTCTCATTCATAACATTGACATTGCCAAAAATAAACTTTTATGTAAATTCTTGTAACTTTATAATGGAATGAAGTTTGAATGAGCAGAATGTTTAGATGTCTGTTCTTAATGTCTTGATGTCTAACAATGATTTTTAAGTATTATGTGGAAGTTGATCTGGTTTTAAAAATGACAATTGGTTTGACAATTAAAACTTTTTCGTCAGCTTATGGGCGTAATTTACTTTATTCATTTAATTTTTTGGCAAACAAGATATCAAAATTCGCGATGGGCGTAAATGCAGATAATTTTAAAATTATATCTGTATTTTGGGTGTTTCAAATATTAAGCTCACATTTAATTATTGATAAAATCATGTAATTCTATACTTCAGTGCACTTTGTGATGCTTTGGATATTTGAAAATCCAAATGAATATACTGACTGAAACTTAATTTTGTTTACGTCCACTGCAATTCTTTTGTGTTCTTTTCACTTGTTGAGTTTCAATCAAAACATTTTTAAACATTAAAATCGATAAAAAGCTCAAAGCTATTACAAATAATTGAACTTTTCAACTCTTACTTATTGAGGAAATCACGACACATAAACTTATTATAAATGTAGGTTGATATGAACTGATAGAATTAAATCACTTGTTGCATCACATGTGAATGCTAATGGAAATGCAATTTAAAATGCAAATATTACTTTTTGTTTAAACAGCAATGCTTGGAGAACCATTTTTACATCTATGTTGACTCATTTTAACTGAAGGAGTCTTAAAAAAATTGAATTTCAATTCGTCCGAATCGCAAAAAGTTTTTCCTGATTTATAAATTTTCTTCAAAGGGGCTGTTCACTTATTACGTAACGCGAAAAAATGACTTCTTAGACCCCCCCCCCCCCTCGTAACAAAATTTGTATGAAAAAAAAATTTCCTTGTTTGAATCGTAACAAAATCTTAGACCCCCCCTCCCCCCAAAAGCGTTACGTAATAAGTGAATGGCCCCAAAGTGAAAATCCCATTCAAAATGCCGAAATCCTTTCTCCTGCAATGTAGATAACAACTAATCATTTCACAATATTCAATCATAGTTCCTCAAAGTCAATTAATACAGAAAATCATCAAATGCGGTATTTCAAACAATAAATTTCACACCAAAATTATCATTTTAATAAACTATACAATTAGCATGTTTAGAGGAGCTTTCTAGCATATCAACACTAAATAGACCACCAATACTGTGTGGTTGTCAATATAAGTTTGCACAGAACAAAAAATTATCATAATTAAATCATGACTGCTGATTGAAATGCATTAAATTTAATTTAGTTTTAATTTTATATAATGTTTCTGTACATGCTTTTAGGTCCAATCAATAAAAAAATTTTCATCCACCTGACATTTTGCAAAAAAAAACACATCCTCGAATAAAAATTTATATTTCCACTCGTTGCACATTTTTTTTTGTTTAAAATGTTACTTTATCAACAAGTATGTTCCAACAATCACATTTTTCAAGGTCACGCTTCAAAAGAGTTTAAAGAACAACAAATTCTGTTTGAAATTGCATAAGCAGCTTTCTGTGAATGATTGACATAGACGAGATTGACAATGAAGTCAAGATTTTCATAACTTTTTAAAAAAGGAAGTGTTTGCTGTGGCAGGAGGGGACGAATTCTGCTGACGATGCTGTTATGTGTGGGATTTTCTAGCGAATATGAGTTGGAAATTTAATGAGCATCCAATTAATTAAAATTATTTAAAAATTCTATGTTGATCGTTGCTAATTATTCAGCACGATATTTTATGTAGTTTGAAATTTGTATATTATTAAAATTATTATCATTTCTATCGCCATATTAAACAATTTTTACTTTTTAATTGTTGTTATCTGAGAAAATTCGTTGTTATGAGGGAGGGGAAGGAGGGCAGAGGATAGTTGGTAAAAAATCCCCTTCTTTGTTCAAAATTTATTTCAACATTATTTATTAAAATTGTGAAAAAATACAATTTTCTTAAGTAAGCTTGAAACTGTATCTCCAATAAATTAAATGACAAAAACTAAGTAGAAAAAAAAACTTGTGTAAATATTAATTCGTTTCTACTTTGTTTGTTTATTCCCAAATAAATTTTGAATTAATTGAAGAATTTTTAAAACTTTGCGACCTGAAAGTACGGATTTTGATATTTCTAGTTTCAACACTTCCTTGCAACCTTTCTCCGATGTAAACGAAATAAAAATAAAAATAAAGTTTTCAACAAAAATTTAATATTTATCATATTTGATCATTGACCTGGATTTAACATATCAGGATTCATTTTTTTTCGATCAATATTAAATGGGAATGTGCGTAATTTGTGTGTAATTCAGGAAAAGTTTCACTACTTTCTGGAAACTTGCGCGTATTTCAGACACCACTCAAGAGTGTAAATCTTCAATTTGTTAAAAAATAATTCTGGGATTGATGCATCAAAAAACTAGTTTTTTTTCTTCATTTTTTGTTTAATAAAGTTAAGTTTTTTATTCTACAGTTTTGCATTTCTTACATTTTTTTGATTAAATTTTAAAATTAATACCTACACTTTAAAAGACTTATCCTCAGACTATCCAAAAATATTGCACAATTTTTTTTATCACTTAATTATTCAAAAAATACACTTTTTCAAAAAAATATCTATTTCAACTCCACAAGTATATCCATAAATATATTTTTTTTCAATTGAATAATATTTTTCTTATTTTTTGAGGTACTCTTTTTCTTTATTTTCTTTTTTTTTAAATATTTCTGTCACTAAACTTTAACTTGCATTTTAATTTTTGCCATGCTGCCGATTCAAAAGCTCACGCAAAACTGAAACAAAATGCTGTGTTGCTTGAAATTGTTAAGTACGATACGTATCGGAGCGAATTCGGAAAGATGAAAAGAATTTTTTTCCACATTTTCTCTCGCTCTCTGTGTTTTTGTTCCGATTGTGATATTGTTAAACTCTGAATTTGCCTGTTTTGTAGTAAAAATAAATGAAAAGAGAAACTGAGCAGCCGACCACGTGAGAGTATATTTGCATGCGTTGATTATGAAGAAACACGCCGATTGAATTTTATGCCACACTGAAATGACTATTCATGAATTTTCCTTACTCAGGATATGCTTTTGTTTAAATACTCTGTGTTCGAGAGGCAGTAAATGAGGTAGTCGTACCGGAAAAATTTACTCGTAATTCATTTTTATCACGTTATGCTCACTAACTTCCTACACTTGAATGTACAACAACATAACATTGCATGATATTAAAAAAGGATAAAAGAACTTTAAAGGACTTAAAGATTGAGTTTTTTTTCAAGGGGGTAACAACATAAATGGAAAAAATTTATGATGAAAAATTTGCACCGATTTTCTGACATTTTTTTTAAACAAAATTATGGTTGTAAGAATTTTTTGATTATTTTTTTTCATCATGTTGTTGTCGTCCCCTTGCATAATTAAATAATTTTCATGGCTTATTGGACACAAGTGGAGATTAAGCGAAGGATCTTGGCTGCGCAGCGTGCATATTTTGCAATTAGACATTTACTAACATCGAAGAGAATAGCGAGAAATGCCAAACTAGTGATGTACAAGACACTAATACGCCCAGTAGTGTTGTACGGTTCTGAGTCATGGAATATGACTATCGCAGATGAGAACGCAATTGGTGTATTTGAGCGTAGGGTCTTGCGAATTATATTTGGACCGAAGAGAGAAGGTGACTTTTACAAAAGCAGGAGTAACGCAGAATTATATCAGCTTTTCAATGAAGCTGATATCGTACGACGAATCAAAGTCAACAGACTCCGTTGGGCTGGACATGTCGTTAGGAGACCTGTTGAAGCTCCCATTAATAAAGTCTTTAAGAATGTTTTTGTAGATGGCAAAAGAACACGCGGGCGACCCAAGAACTCTTGGAAAGAAGCTGTTGACAGAGACAGTATTGCATTTGGTATGGTTAATTGGCAAACGGAAGCCAGCGACAGAGTCAGCTTCAGGCGCCATCTAAGGGAGGCCATGGATCACAATTGATCTGTACGGCCAGCGAAGTAAGTAAGTAAGTATTGGAATTTCCAGAATTCAAAGCTGTTTATTTAGTTCTAAAAAAGTGTTAATCTCAATTCAGAGTGCTAAATTGAGATAAAAACTTCCACGAATAGATTTACTGATAATTAATCAATGAAGTGTTATGATTATGTGCTCAAAAACAAAAACAAAACTTACGATACATTCTTCTGAGAATTCAGATCAGTTTCCATTCAATTGAGCTTTGTGTGTCGAAACAAAAAGCAGATGACAATGCCAAGGTTGAATGAACAGTTTTTTGTCAACAAACATTGAAGGTTATGTAATATTAAGATCTATTAAGATGTGATTAAAATGAGCCGGTTTTTGAGATTAACCTCCCTTAGTTAATTATAGTTTAAAAACTGATGGATTATATTATATTATATTACGACAAAATTTAAATACTATTTTGATGTTTCATTCCGTTGTCATTCATACCTAAACATACAAGGGGTAGGTATGAACCAGGGTAAAGTATAAAACCAAGGGTAGGAATAAGCTAGGGGTAGGTATAAACCAAGGGGAGGAATAAACCAGGGGTAGGTATAAACCAAGGGAAGCCAAGGAGGTATATACCAAGGAATAAGCTAAAGAGAAGTATAAACCACGAGGTAGGTATTAAATATGAAAATATAATAGATAGGGGTAGGTACAGGCTAGAGCTTGGTTGATATTGTTCCAAATCACTTATATAAATTAGGTTTAATTATAAAACTAATTCGTTTTTCATAGAAATCTCTAATTATAGACTAAACATAAAAATAAACACTGATTATGCCATACTCTCGTGATGATTATATCTACATCAATCATATCTCATCAACATTCTCTTTACATTTAATTTAGAAATCTCTTCATGATCTATTTTCAGATTTCTAGTGATTTATTCAACGTCTAATAAGCCATTCATCTTTTTTACAATTTCATTTCTTACACAGCTATAATCACAAAACGATAAAAATATATTTAAAGTTAAAGACATCGATAAAAAAAGTGTCAACAATGCTTTACTTAGCTTATCTTATCAATGTCACACCGTAATTGCAGTGTAACGAAAACACTCAGATATTCTTATACTTTTGAAGTCACAGAAAATATTTAAAAAGTTTACAAGTTAAACCGAGAATTCCTAATGGATGCATTAAACATTGTGATAATTGGAGATGGAACTGTGGGAAAGACATGTCTTCTGCATTGCTATTCAAATGAAACCTTTCTGGAGAGCTATGTACCTACAGTGTAAGTTTGACATTGAATTTTATAAATAGTTGACAGTGAAGTTATGATTCATAGCTCGTGGACTCGATTTAACCCTAATGGATAAGATAATAATAGTTTTTAACTAGAACTAGAGATGGAAGCAGTAAATTGTAAATTGAAATTTATGGTGAATTTACTTTATTTATGGAATATTGTTAAGGTTGCAATCTAGACAGAGTTAGCAAAGCGACAATCTTTTGACAGAAATAGTTCACAAATTACACCTGTTATGATTCAAATTCTTTCAATTGAGACTTGAACTCAACTTTGACTTGGAGAATTCTAAATTTTTACAATTTATCTGTTAAAGTCTTCAAATTAGTCGACAGATTTATCTACATATGATTCAACATTCTAGATACATTTAAAGTCAACAAATCATCAATCAAATCATCCGTCTGTGAATTGATCAACTTTTTATCATTAGTGCTTTAAATTGAATTCATTCATTCAGCATCACCAATTAATATTAATGAGCCATATTTAATGCTTCAGTGACACTCACAGATGATGTAAAGTATTACCATTAAAGATACCAGATGTTATTCATGTGAATTTAAATCATACAGAAGAAATATTTATGTAAGCTAAAAAAAGGCAGAAAAAAAGATAACTGAATTGTCGCAAAGATAAAGTCTCATACTTCTTAAAGGATTTAAAGAAAATCATACTTTATTCAATGACGGCAATTCTCTGTGGTTGATAAATTCCATTTTTTTTTGTGTGAGCTAAATCTTATCTTTTCCTGAGATTTGTGAATCACCATTTGAGTGTTAAATGTGTATGCTCTTCGTGTGGCATTTCTTAACAAAAAATTTGCAGACGGTTCTATCGATATCCCTTTAGATGCAAAAGTTCACAGAGCAATTAAATGAGCTTTTTAGACATGGTAACAGTTGAATGACATAAAAGCATCCGTGTTAAACAGAATATGTGCAGATCTCAACCTACGATCCAAATTACCTCCTTTTATGACCCTTTCCTACTCATCTTTAATCTCGTTCAGAGATAATCTTAGCTGTGTTAGCTATTATAAGCAACTACTGTATTCAAGATTCTGACATTATATGACATTTCTTTGTTATAATTTAAATATTAGCCACTCTTCTGAAATTGAATCAGTGGTCTTACAGAAGAGAGAGATGCTGCTATTGCAGGTCTATTCTCAAAGCTCTCGTCCTGCCATATTCACTTTGAATTCACAGGATATCAAAATTTCCACCATTCTTATTCACCTTCATTGAAAGTGTAGTCAAAAGTCACACATAAAGACAGCCAGACAGGCATACAGACAGCTAGACATACATACTGTCATACATACTGTCAAAAAAAAAAGATTCACTTCTAAAAAACATTTTAATAAATTACTACAATTATGAATAATTGCAGCTACGACAAGGAGGACTTTGATGTGATGTTAAATGGAAAAAGTTATGTCCTGAAGTTAATTGACACCGCGGGACAAGAAGATTACGAAAGAGTACGAAGGCTCTTCTATAAAGATGCTAAAGCATTCATTTTATGTTACAGCATAGAGAATCATGCATCGTTTAATAATATTTATAATAAATGGATGCCTGAATTGAAGCAGATAGAGAATTGGCCAATTCCATTTATTTTAGTTGGTAAGAAGTTCTGAGAAAGGTTAGATCATTTAAATTTCATGAGTTCTTTTTTCTTGTTTTCAGGTACGAAAATTGACTTAAGAGATGATCCGACATACAGTAAACCATTAGTAACAACAGAAGAGGGTCAGGGCCTTGCTCAGCGAATTTGTGCAAATCGTTTTATCGAGTGTTCAGCCAAGAAAAATGTACACATTAAAGATACGATTGAGGAAGCTCTACGTGCTGTGTTTAATGGTCCAATTGTTGATGAGAAGAAGAAAAAGGATTCGTGTCTTACATGCTGTCTGTGTTGATTTAATGTAAACGAGTTTTCTCTTGCTGTTTCTGTTTCTGCTGAAAAGTTATTATATTAAATAAATCATATTATTTTTCCATATTAAAATGTGTTAACAATTCCAACGGACATCTAAAGGATGGATGATCAAATTAGATGTAATTTATCAGAGAGAATTTTTAATCAAATTTTGAATATGGATAACAACTGGAGTTCTTGGTATTTCTGAGGGATAAATTTCCAGCTGAGCAGATGAAGGCTGATTTAAATATGATTTTTACTATACTGTGGATTGTGAATACTTTTAGAGCTGATGTTTTAAAGGTTTTATTCGTCACTGGGTCAAAAAAATTGAGGACAGAATCAATCGAGTCTTTAAAGATAAATGATTTTGATTGTTTTACTATTTATCTAAGGTTGATGATTCAAGTATTTTCAAATAATTAGTTTTTAACTCTCATTAAATATTTAAATTATGTTCGCAAACACAATTAGTTGACATCGCATTTTAAAGTGGGAAGCCCCTCTGAAGAATAAGCAATTTGTAGAGTTTTAATTATAATTATTAGTAATACAACATTGTTATCATAATCTCAACTTTAGATGTTGGCAAAACAGACTCAATACTATATCATTGTAAAATCTATCTTATTACTGAGACATGACCAAATTGCCAAGAAAATGAAACAAAATTCATGTACTGTCTAGACATTACTGGGGGTCCTCGATTTGAGTAGATTCTATTTGAGTAGATTCGATTTGAGTAGAAATTTTTTTACCTACCAAAATATTCGATTTGAGTAGATTTCTTCTTGTTTTCTTCGATTTGAATTGTTTACAAAATAAAAATTTACGTTAAAAATTAATTTAAGTCGTTCTACAAAAATATATAAAAAGGTAGTTTAAGTCATTTTTTAAAGCTATGATAAGCATTTAACAAATTGTTGTTGATCTAGGTTTCCAACAGTGAAGAAATGAGCAAGAAAACTGAACCAAAACGCAAAAATATTTCAATAAAGGAAAAAAAAGGAAATATTAAATGAATATAACAATGGGACCGATTTAGCGAGCATATCCAGAAAATATAAGCATAAATATACCACCATTGTTAATATTTGTAAACGAGACAAACAGAAACTTGAATCTACAACGGAACAAAATGATCGAGGTTTAAATGCATCTACAAAACTTCGACCTGATATTATGATCAAACTGGAATCTATGCTTTTTATATGGATTGAAGATTGTAACCAGAAAGGCCTTCCTTTAAGTATGGAAAATATCTCCATCAAATCGAAGGACATTTACAAATCATTGAAAGAAAAGTTGGATCCTCAAGATAAGCATTGCTTCAATTCCAGTCGTGGATGGTTTGATAAATTCAAGAAACGATATCAATTACACAATTTAGTCTTAAATGGAGAAGCAGCAAGTGCTGACAAAACGCAAGCTGATTCATTTGTTGAAACCTTTTTGAGTAAAATTGATGGAAATTACAGTCTTGACCAAATATTTAACGTCGATGAGACTGGACTTTTTTGGAAGCGAATGCCGAGTCGTACATATATTGCACAGCAATCCAAGTCAGCTGCTGGTCATAAGGTATCAAAGGAAAGATTGACATTATTATTAGGTGCCAATGCTAGTGGCGAATTTAAGCTAAAACCTTTATTAATCTACACATCAGAAAATCCTAGAGCATTCAAAAATGTCGACAAATCTAAATTGGGAGTTTATTGGCGATCAAATAAGAAAGCCTGGATGACATCTGTAATTTTTACTAATTGGGTGAAGACTTGTTTAGTAAAAGAGCTAAAAAATTATTCATTAAAAAAAGGAATGCCATTTAAGTTCCTAATACTCATAGATAATGCACCAGGACATGCAAATATTGAAATTTTGAACCAAATTTCCGATGGAATTAAGTTTATGTTCTTACCTCCTAATACCACATCATTAATTCAGCCGATGGACCAAGGCTGTATATCAACTTTTAAATCTTATTACTTAAAAAAGTCATATCAAAGCATTCTGGATTCTGATTGTGATGAAGCTACGGTTAAGGATCTCTGGAAAAAGTTCAATATTGCACATGCTGTGAAATATATCACATCAGCCTGGACTGATGTATCTGAAAATTGTGTTCGCGGATCATGGAAAAAACTAATTCCTTCACTCAATGTTGTGGATGAAAATTATATGGAAAATGTTTTGCTCTCAATCGAAACTCATGCCCTTAATGCTGGATTGACTGGAATGGAACAATCTGATTTGCTAGAAATTTTAAATGATAACTTTGAGTATTCAGTCGAAGATTTGCAGGAAATTTTGGAAAATGATAGCTTGGAATGTAGCTCAGAAACAGAAAGTGAAGATGAATCTAAAAAAGTGGAGGTTTTAAGCAAAAAGGACCTTAAAGAGATAGTAAATATTTTTTCGCAGCTTAAATTAAAGATTAAGGAGTGTGATCCTGATAAAGAACGTGTTTTTGCAGTCGAAAATGACCTATCCAAAGCAGAAAACTATTACTTAAAGCAAGTTAAAACGCAAAAAGTTCAAAAACCTATTGATTTGTTTTTTTAAAGCATCATGATAAATTAGTTTTTTTAAGAAATGTCTCACAATATCAAAAAATATTGTTACATTCATTTTTTTTTATATATTCATATATTTTTTAATAGTACTAAATTCTTATTTTTGAGCAAATGAAAAATTAATATGTAAAGAAAGTACATAAAGTAAGGAAAAAGCAAATCATTAGCTATAAAAATTGTCAAAAGCTGCCAAAAACTAATAAAATTTTCATTGTTTTGGTACATTTTTTGGACTCGGGAACAAAACATGTGATTTTGTATGGATTCCTTTCCTCGATTTGAATAGATTCGATTTGAGTAGAAAATTTCTGGAACAAAACAACTACTCAAATCGAGGACCCCCAGTATTAATAAATTTCTCGAATTCAATCTTTAACATTGCAAAACAAGCTTTTATAATGCAAGTAAAATTATAGCAAGATGTACATTGATTTCACATGAGTCTTTAGCCTCTCATTTTCAAATTACAGTTTACACTAATGTCCATGATATATGTGTTTAATTTCTCAAGCATCTTGCTGTTTTTTCCGTGTTACATTCAATGAGCCTTCACTCTCATTCGTTTCCGATAATGTTCTCCCAAGTAGTTAAGAAGTATTGAGTTGATTATGCGAAATAAATCAACACGTTTCAAATTTAAGTACATTCATCCTTTCACTCACGAAAAAAAAAAAAAAAATTGAGTTTCAGGTCGATCATCTAAGCTCACTTCATTCATCCTGTGTGTATCTTCATGCACTTATTAGTACGTGTGTCGGGCCTCAATTTCCTTTACCAAATTGGATATCGTAATTAATCAACATCAAAAACTAAATTGCTTTTTTTTTCGTCTTCAGATCTGAGTGTTCTGATAAGGGTAAGTAATTTCATCTTCCAATCTAACACTGCATTTGGTAAAATGGAATGCTTATACATTTGTGAACATGTCACGAATATATAATGTCATTAAGTTACATTTGTATGAAATAGATTTTCTTTTCCTGTCCGGATAAAAGATTCTTTGAGTCTGATACCTTTATGCAAAAAAAGAAAGAAAGTTTAGAAGCAATTGACCTTATGGGTGACAGTAAGTTCAAGTTTTTTTCAATTATATTTGCTCTGTTGGGGTTTCTTTGTGTAGCTGTGCATGATGTGATAAATTGTTACTATGCCTTTAATACATTCTTGCACTTTTAGAATCTTTTGATTGCTTAATATTGAAAAATAATGTCTTTCATCTCCTTTGAAAGCTATTGTTAAGATATATTGTACATTTTATAAGTTATTAAGAGGTTTTATCGGTTTTTATCAAGCCTTAGTCACTTAGATTAATACCAAAGAAGATTCAAATACTTCCTGATATGAAATTAAGAATCTCATTAGAAATCCCTAGTAAATTTGAGGTATATATTATGTAAAGTAGAAATTTATAGTTGGATTCGAAATATAAAGCGAAAAAATGCTTGGATTAAACACGAGTGTTCATGCCTTGGACTTAAAGCATAGTTTGCCTGCCTGTAATTTAATTTTGTAGATTCACTTGAGTTCTTGAGATTAAAAATGTTTTTGAAATTAATAGAATTTCAAATTTGTAGTAATTAAGAATATTTTAAATTCCTTGATTGATTTTACTTTCATAAAGTTTTCTTCCTTGAAGAACATAAGTTTTTTGAGTTTTATAAGTAATTCGTCTCAAAAGACTTAATTAAATCAAATAGAAAGGGTAAACTTAAACTACTCAAAATGATTTAAAACCGTTTTTTTCATATTTCCTGATGATAAAGTTTTTCCTTACTTAAATTAAATTGCATCTTTCATAGCACCTGAACAAACAATTTTTTGTGCACCAAAAAATTCCTATTTTTATTGAAAGATTTTCACAAGCTTCTTGACTTCTGACTTGTGCTTCAATTTTTCTACCAAAATTTATCATTCGACCGCCTTTAAGTTATTTCTGAGAACCTTTTAATATTTTATTATAACCTTCATTGAGGATATAATATATGTTACAGTAAGTTATTCGAAGATTCCTTTCCCCCCGAAACAGCATCATTTAGAATTGACATTTATGGGTAGTTAAAGAAGGTAAATAGAGAAGAAACAGCATATTCCACAGATATTGTTAGAGCCACAGAAGCCAATAACTTAAGGATACAAATAAAATATATTGTTTGAGCTACTTTCAAGGTTACACGAAGAAATTTTTCATTTGTATTATTTAGTACCAACCAAGAAGTACAAAATATTGCGTTATGCCTTTCGGGTGCTATTTCCTTCTTATTCTTACGTGCCTGACTGATAAAATCAAGAGAATTACTTTTTATGGGTATGGTCCTTTTGTAATATCACACAATAGTTTATGTTAGCTTCATGTGTATTTGAATAAATCATTTAACTTTTCTAGTGCTCATTTAGAGAAGGGTAACATGATAAATAGACTCCTGTAATGGGATCTTACGACTATAAAGAAGACTTTGAGGTACTGACTATTAACACGTTAGTTTAAAACTTTTAACTTTTTATTGGAATAACAAAGTTTTACTTCAAAGGAGGCTTGTGTGGGTAATAGCTTGTCCAAACAAGCTCGGTCGACTGAATGATTTATCATTGGTTGATTAGAGGATGAGAAAATTGTTCATTGAGTTCATAGTCTCTAATCAATTTGAATAACTTTGTTTTACAAAGTAGTCTTGGACAATTTAAATCGACTGAATGAATTGACCATGATTGAGCTTGATATTATTTATATGTTGTCTTTTATTACTATTGGCTGTATAGAGTTAGGATTGGCTTTTTAAATTATAAACTTTGCTAGAAGAACAGTTTATTATGATTGAAGTTTGTTTGATGTTGATTGATGTCAACAATCCTTTGAATTTATGCACTGTAATAAACGTCCTTATTAATTTAACGTTAAGACTTTAGAATATCAAATCCAATTTCAAGTCAATAATCGCTTAGCAAACAAGCTTATTTTACTTCCAAATTTCTCGAGTTTCTTGAACCTTTTTGTTTTCATAAGTAATTCATAATTTATAAAAGCATCTGAATAGCGTCATGATCTGTATCCGTAGTATAGGAGACATTATCAAATTATAAGGATGATTCATGGTTTCTCGGTTGGAATAAATGATCTCATTAGTTTGTTTTGACATGATTTAATAGTTTATGAATGCAAATTTTTATTAAGTTTGTAAATTTAATTGCATTAAAAGTTAAATCAAAACAAACATTAATATTAATGGATCTGGAACTGATTGATAAAGTCAACACAAAAATTAATATGGATAATATAAATATTGTTATAGTTGGTCCTGAAAATGCCGGAAAAACTTGCTTTTTTCATCGCTATGCAAATGACAATATTTTAATAAATTGAAATTAATATTAAATCCCTTCAAGCATTGATTTTAAAGACTTTGAAACAGTTTTGGATGATAAATGCGTCGCATTTAGTTTATTAGACACACCGGGTCAAGATGATTATGAACATTTACGACCACTTGCCTATAACAATGTCTCAGCATTTATTATTTGTTACAGCATAAATAATAGAGATTCATTTGAAAGCATTTCCATCAAGTTGATACCAGAACTTAAGTTGATATTTGAGTGGCCAGTTCCTGTTATTTTAGTTGGTAAGTTGCACTATTCGGTATGATTATATTCAAAGAATGTACTGATGGTAAAGGAAGCAATATTGTGCTGCATTGATATCAATCTTTTATTCAGAATATTTGTGAGTCAATCCTTTTTCAAATGTGTTTCAATTTTCGCAAATTTCAGCAACAAAAATAGATTTGAGGGATTATCCAAATGTAAGGCAGAAGGAGTTATTAATAACAACAGATGAAGGCTTACAACTTGCAAACCAAATACAAGCGAATAAATTCATTGAATGCTCAGCAAAGTTAAATATAGAAATTAGGGAGGCAGTTCATGAAGCTTTGCGTGCAGCTCTTCAGGAACTTGAGAAAGAAAAGTTCGAAAAAAAGGTTTCATGCTTTCCATGTCGTCAATCCTAAGAAGGTAAACAAGAAAGCAGATTGGAATCAATTAGATATGTTCTTTGTTAACGTGTAAGGTTTGTTCGCCTACATTGTTCTAAACTTAACAAGTCTTTCTCATGTTGGTTGAGAATGAGAATAAAGTTGATTATTGAACATTAAGTTTTTCTATCATCAAAATACATAAAATGGAATTTTTATGCAATACAAAGTTTTATTTCAATGTTGTTCCCTGGAGCAATGAAAGATAGATGACTATAAAGAATTCCTGACTTTCATGCTGTCAATCATGATGAGATTTTCTGGAAAATTGAAAACTTCTCAGCGTTGCTTAGGAATTTAAATAAATTTTCCGGAAAATGTCTTCCTTTCAATTTAAGTTTCAATTTACTTCATTTTGTATTTATTAAATAATTAGCTTTAATTTAATATATTAAGCTTGGCGACGTTGTTTAATACTTGAATTTCGAATTTTAGAAGTCCAACACAAACATGTACTACATAATAAGCTCACACACTCCTATTTTACTTTACAAACTGAACTAAACGATGAAGTTTAATAATGAATCATACTCAGTCATAAATTATTCAAAATTCTATCATGATTCTGAACAATGAACAAGCATCGATGAATAGTTTTAGCTTAAAAATCATTTTAAGTTAATTTTTAGAAGGAGGAGCATTAAAAAAAGTTTTAGATGAATATTGTGAAAATTGCAGTAGTTGGTGATTCTGTAGTCGGAAAAACGTGCTTGATTTATCGGTATTGCCACGACATATTTTTGGAACAGGATAATTCACTGAAGTAAGCTTTTAATGTCGAGTTCTTAATGACTGGTCAGGATTGAATGATAATTGAGTGACTTAGATCTCTAGATCAAGAAATCCAAGGTTTAGGCTAGGGGCCGTTCACTTATGACGTCCAATATTAACGGTCATTTTTCAAAAGAACAATGGATTTCCAGGAATTTCTATTGTTCTTTTCCTTCTGACCCCCCCCCCCGGACGTCATAAGTGAACGGCCCCCTAGCATTTAACATTTAAATTTGTGGTCTCTACTATAAGCTAGAGCAAACTCTTAATTGTTATACTTTTATAAATGAATTACAAAAATTAAGGAATCATAAATTTCTTTTAGTATTGACAAAGAAGAAACAGAAGTTACTATAGACGGGACAAACTACACTATAAATCTAGTAGAACCAAAAACTGATGAAGATGCAAATCGATATCGTCCGTTTTATTATAAAAATTCAAAAGTCATAATTTTATGCTTTGGAATTGAAGATAGACTATCATTTGAAAATATTTCCAATAAATGGATACCTGATTTGAAGCATTTATCATGCAAGCCAATTTCTTTTATTCTCGTCGGTATGTAAATTCAACAAAAATGCTTAAGCAATTCAATTTAAAATTACATTTCAGCTACGAAAATTGACCTAAGAGACGATTCGAATTCCTCAGAAGCATTTATAAAAACAGCAGAAGGTGAAGGTCTTGCAAAGAAAATTGGTGCAAGAAGATTCATTGAATGCTCGGCAATGAGCAATGTAGGAGTCAAAGATGCGATTGAAGAGGCTTTGCGTGTTGCCACTGATAAAGTAGTTGTGATTAAAGCTAAAGAGCATTCTTGTGTTGTTTGTTAGATCAAGTCTTAATAAAATTAAATAACCTCTAAAAAGGAACCGTTACAAAAAAAATTCAAATTTCCCGCTCATGGATTTCACAGATTGATACAAAAATTTTTTGTACACTGTAAAAGCGTTTTGTTGATATTGAAAATTTTCCTGTTAAAATAATTTATAAAATTAGTGAAAATATGCAATTTAAGACGACGAATGGAAGTGATTCAGCAACGAATGATGATGATTATGCTGAAAGTGTTCTTAGAAAGATCGAGAATGAGCAAAGACTAGCGAAAAAGCGAAAATTTGCAAAAATAAGTGAAGGATTTAGTTTATTTACATATTTTTTCTTTATTTTGATAAGAGTTGTGCTAGTCTTTGTTCCTCAATACGGATACATCCATCCTGATGAGTTTTTCCAGTCGTCTGAAGTGATCTCAGGTAGAACAACTTCTTATGAATGTCATTAAATGTCATTAATGATGGAATTTATAATTTCCTCGAAAAACAGGAGAAGTCTTTGAGCTGGAACATACTAGGACTTGGGAATTTAACAGTACAATGCCAATCAGAAGTTATGCCATCCCATTTATATACCTTAAAATTCCAATGGTTGTCTTAAAGTTCATTCTAATGTTTACAAAAATGCTTTTCGGCATTGATCTGCTTACATCGTACATTATCTTAGTATTTCCCCGAATCATCATCTGTCTCATCTCATTCCTGAATGACTATAGCATTTATCAAATTTGTCGAGCTTATAATTTGAAATATGACATTAGACTTGTGACATTCGCCAGTTCAGCTGTTGTGCTTACGTTTGGAATAAGAACATTCTCAAATACAATCGAGATGACATTGTGTTCGCTTCTTTTATATTTGGTTAGTGACTGTATGATACTCTCTAATACCGTCATCTATCAAAAGGAATTTCTCGAGGAGAAATATGAGAATGCAAAAAATATTGGTGATCGTGTGAAGTATTTCAAGATGAGAATGTCATTACCGCATCATTCATACAGTAAATGTGCCATGATATCATCAATATGCGTTATCGGCATCTTCAATCGTCCAACCTTTATATGCTTTGGATTACCGCTTGTATTCTTCTGGATGCTACGCGGTATGGGAACATCCAAAACTGTCACATTTACAGACTTTAATTTAAGAATGCTATTTTTCATCACAAGCACACTGCCTTCATTTTTCATCATCGTAATCATCGACTCGCTTTATTATGGCTATTTATCTTTAGCACAAATTTATATTATGGACATATCGATTTACAGCTTTCTTGTTACGCCTGTAAATTTCATCAGATACAACATAAATTCAAGCAATACAGCAGCACATGGAGAACATCCCAAATGGCTTCATTTTCTAATTAACATTCCATTATTATACAATATTCTAGGCATCATTGCGATTGTATCGTTCCTTAATATGTTCTATAAGTTCTGTAGAAAGGAATATCAAAATTTGCCACAAACACAATCGTTTGTATTCATGATGACAAGCGCAATATTCGCACCAATATTTATGCTCTCGTTCTTTAATCATCAGGAACCGAGATTTCTCATTCCAATCACAGCGCCTTTAATTTTATTACATTCACCCAAATTAATTACAGGCGTGAATATATCCAATTATTTAAGAGAATCTAATTGGAATTTGGTGAGATTTCTTTCATCTTACGTGAATGTATCGGTGCGTGGCAGAGTAATCCTTAAAATCTGGTACATGATGAACATTATATTCACAATATTCTTCGGATTCATCCATCAAGCTGGTGTTGTTCAACTGACCGATTACATGTCAAGTTATTACCATCAAGAGAATATTAAGCAGATTCATCTTGTTACTAGTCATATTTACAACATTCCCGAGTCACTTCTTGTCATACCTAATTCCAACATTATCCTTACAAATCCCGAGACTGGAATTAAGTATAAAAGTTCACGTAGATTCTTCATCTATGAATATGGAAGTATGGACATTGAGCAAATGTTCAAACGGATGAAAATTGTCCTCGATGCAGCTGAACTGAAATTGAGGATGAGAAATGTGAATTATGATGTTTTTATTGCCATTCCATCCAGTCAAGCTTATGAATTAAATCAAATGTTTTACAAGCATCAAAAATTGATTACGTACAAGGAGGAACAAATATTCTATCCGCATTTATCTACGGAAGCATTTCCGAATTTCTACACGACCATACATCCGTGCGAGATAAATACAAATGTCGATGAACTGGATGAGACATGTGGTTTAGAAAATTATGATGACATTAAGGATGAGTGGACAATTCCAGGTGTTTTGAGGAGAGTTTCATTGACTGCACATCAATTTGGACTTGCACTTTATAAAGTTGAAATAAGAAGGAAGAAGCAGCAATTTTCGTAGTAGACGATGTATTTATTTTTTATTAATTATAGAATGTCTAGTCACACTTTTACCTCTGCTTGTTTTGTTTCTGTTGATGTTTTTCTTTCTAATGATGATGAAAGCTTCTTTGCTTTTATTGCTGTTTTTTACCTTTTAAGAATTAAGATCATTCGTAGGTGTTTAAGGTTCAAGAGCGCGTTCTGATTACATTTAAAGTTTAAGCGCCTACCAAATTTTATATTTTTAACGGTTGGAAAAAATTCAAATTTTAACGATTTGAACAGTTTCAAATTTTTAAGGGTTTTAAATATTTCAAATTTCCTAAGTTTTTAAACGTTTATGGAAACTTATAATGACTCATTGGAGATATGATCTCTCGATAAAATGCTCTCAAACCTCAAACATTCATTATTATTATAGTAAAATATAAGCAGCAATAAAGCACTAGATAATGTAAACATCAACGGATTTATTTAAAAGCACTTCTAAGAAGAAACCATTAATTCAAGACTTTTCAAAAACTTTAAAACATTTAAGCTTACAACCCAATAAAGAGCAAGAAGATTTTTGCAGCTTGAGATAATTTTAAATTAAAATTATAATTTTGTATTCATAAATCAATTCAATCTTTACCAAATCTTTACAGTCATCAATTGTTTGTTCAAGCTTTGTTACTATTATGGAATCAGAGATCTTCTTCCCAGACAAAGGTTATGTTATGATTAAAGAGTCAGAAAATCTAGGCCATAAGCAAATTCTTTCAAAGAGAAAGCTCAAGTCTATCTAAAGGAATCTAACACAATGAGGTTGAAAGGTTGAAAAAGTGGTTGGAGAAGATTGGAAAAATCCAGTATTTGCCTTACGTAATAAATGAATAGCTTTGATTAAATAAGAATTTGTTAGCAAAATAAATGATTAGCCTTTTATAACAAGTAGCTTAACAATGAGGAACTTCTGAGAATATTTCGAGTTTTCAGAAGGATACTCGTTGATTTAAGGTCGAAATAATGCAGACATTCACAGACAAGATTTTTTTAGGATTTTTTGGGTTGCTTATTATTTTTGCTCATTAGCTTAAGGGTTAATCAGTGGTTTCACAACTGTTGGCAGGCGACACACAAAGAGGTTGTTCTGAATCGTTTTATGAAGACATTCAGTTTGCTTTATAATTCACATTTTGGTATCAGTCAGCTGGAAGGAGCTGGTATCAATTAATCGATACTTAACCTCAAAATTCGATTTTTGGAGCATCTAGTTTTTTCTCAATTTTTGGAATGGACCCCTTAAAATGGCTAATTATCAACTACTTATTCCTTAGCATTTTGTTAACACAATAAACTCATAAACACTTTCGTTGTGTTTTCATTAGCATCGATATATTCCATAAATAATAATTAATGGGTAATAAAAAGTTTGCAATATTTCATTTAAACAAGAAACCTTTCTGATGTGTACAAGGAACAGCTTATTAGTTATTTTATTATTCATATGGTGTATGGTTGGTAATTAAATGAACAAAAATGTATGACGCAGCATTTATTTACATGAAAGGCATTGGAATTTTGTAAGAAAATATTCATCAAATATGTTTTGGTATGGGGCTCGTTCATAAATGATGCATGTCACTTAGAATCTTTGGTTTTTGTGGCAGTATATAACAAAATGGGGATTGTTTGGATAGGAGGATTGTTGACATCATTTATGAAAAACTCAACAGGAATTTTCGTTCTCATTTTATCTGAAAACCAATAAGTATGATTAACAAACTTTTAATTTAATTATGTGCTGCTGCCAGGGCTGCTTCTAAAAAATTAATTGAAAAATTCTCAAAAATTGTATGATTTTCTTCGAAAACTTTTGTTTTCTTCGCAGGTTAAAGTAGAACAAGTACAAAGATCAGCGAATGAGCATCATCAAAGCGCATTTTTAACAAGGGGAAAACAATACGATGAGAAAAAAATTTGATTAGAAATTCCCATCAAATTTTAAGCATACGGGAACTTTGACAACATTTTTCATTTATTTTTTGTTTCATCATGTTGTTTTCCCCTCAATTTTCATAGCTTTCAATTTATATTGAGGGTCCTCGATTTTAAGAGGTGTTTTGTTGTCAAATCGAGCATCCATAGTATCACAGATCACTATTACTTAACGTTTTGAATGAGGTGTGGTTGAAAAAAAATCGTTTTTTGTGTTAATTAATAAGAGGTAATTCACTTATGACGTCAAACATTTAGGGGGGGGGGGGGGTCATAAAATTGTGACATCCAATTTTTAAATCGTATTGAAGTGAAAAGCCCCTTACCAAATTTTCGAACTTTTGTTCTTCACATCTTGAGGACAAAGATTGTTTTACCATCCAATAATGTCTTGAACATTAATCACTTGCAAAAGCACACTTTTATTTACCCACGCACTACGTCAACACTCGTAAAAGTGTTTGAAATCACATATTTTCAATTGATGCTATATGAAAGCAATGCTCTAGTTCCATAAAATCCTTGAATGCTTTACTGAAACTAATTTAATATTCAGTTTGAGATAATTAAATCACATATGTAGAACTCAAGTAAAGAGAAAGGAAAAAAGGCATCCACCGAGCATCTGCGGCATTATAATTATTTATGTTTTTCTGTGGAATAAAATTTCTATGAATATAAAACAATTATGAGAACATCAGATAAGTGAGTTCGCTTAACTAAGAGCATGAAGGGATATATATAGAAAGTTGGTAGAGAAGCTATTGAAATGCAAGCAGTGGTTTAAAAGCTGCATTAACAAAACCATTTGATTTGCAGACTTCATTTCTTTGTAATTCTAGCTCCTATTGACCTAGTTAGACTTATAGTGTATTGCAAATTTTTAAGGCTTCAGAACAGTACCAATACACCTAGCACATCATCATTGAACCTAGGAGGTCCACAAAGCAAAGTTACAGCGCTGGTTTCTGAATACAAAGCTATAATTAGAAAGTGAGATTCGAACCGAACATTTTCGAGGAACTTCATTAAATTTAAGGCTTTACATCTTGTCGACTACTCAACGACGGAAATCATCTGCTTTAAAATTTAATTAACAATATTTTAATCCAGTCAAAAACAAAACCAGTTTAATGTGACATTAAAAGTGAACTGCTCCTTAATAAAATGATTAACAAAGTTAAGTTGCAAGAAGCACAAAGGAAATATTAATAACTTTGAGACACTAGAATGTTTACTATTTAGAAGAAGATGCAATATTTGAAATCTTTAACCAATTACAAGAATGGCTGCATATGCACATAAATAAATGAACCAAATAAATAGATAAAACCAAATAAATGCAGTCAAAAATAAGCAAAAAATGAATTTTCATTTCAATAGATAAATTTGAGCTAAATATGGTGAAGCATTAAAGAATAAGAACCTTATTCATGAAAATATTTTCGCTGATATTAAAACCTGTGATCAAAAAATAATTATGAAGAAGTCATCAAATTTTACTGCTTTGTGAGGCACGATGAGATTCGTACGCGAAGAAACACTTGAAAAATGCTGATGACTTCATACTTCTTTACTATTATATGACCAATTCTTCTTCAATTTGATGGTAGTTTTGAATATCATTATTTTTGCTATGGGGCTGTTCATAAATGACGTCTTCATAGAAATTTTGTGATATTCCTTTTTTTGATCGAAATTTTATAAATCCTCTATTAATTGTAAGGAAGGGGGGGGGGGGGGGGGGGTGGGGTTTTCCTAATGTACTGATGAAATTGATCGTAATTCAAATTTATGTCCGAGCCCAAGTTACCAGCACCATAATATAAACTGTCTATTCAAATTCATAATATGAATGGTTTTTCATTTTTAAATGATTTTGTCTGCTACGTACGTACGGAGATGCAATTAAAAATGGAAAAAAAAATTATTGAATAGATAATGTAAAGCTTCAGACCATCCCATGCGTTCTATTGATGTGATTGGTAATTGAAAATCTACTGACAAACAAAATTTAATAGAATGGATGTTGAAATGAAAACTTCATGAACTGACATCAGTGGCGTGCTTAAAGATTATTATTATTATTATTTTATTTAGTCTGTCTCAATTTTTGGTTTTCAGCTTAAGTTATGTTTTCATCAAAGGATAAAATATGAGACGACACCGCATTAAGCAGTTGAACATTTAAATATATGATTTTTACAAAAAAATATCAATACTGGTCCAATTGGGTTATATATATGATAATCGGATAGAATCACTATTCGATTTAAATTAACGTATTTTTGAAATTTGAATTTTTAACGGCTGGTTTTTTTAAATATTAAGTTCTAATTTTTTAGTACACAATGTTTGTAAACAACAGATAAATTATTAACGAGACAGGTTTTCATATTTCGGTGATTTCAAAGTAATTAAGCTGCTGACGATGCGATTTCACGATATCTTCCTTGTTTTGTGTTGTTCAGAATCAAGCAGTAAGTCGATTTTTTTCAATAAATAAATTTTTAATTGAGATTTGAATATTTTTAGATTTCTCAAATCTGTCAATTCCTTACTGAGTTGATTGTAAAGCCTGACGCCCAAATAGCTTATGTCAAGACCAAGACAATTCTTTTTCTTAAATCTCCAAGCTACAACTTCTCCAGAGGATCTTGTGATGCTGTCTGTAATGTCAAAATTTAAGAGCTCTGGCTTATCCAAGAGAAGAGATTTTTTTATGTAGACAATCATCATATAGTAAATGACTAAAGATGGGGTGTTATTTAAGTTGGCTACGCTACTGACTCTCATATAAAAATTTCCATTTTAATATTGAATGCATTTCTACTTTTTAGAGGCCGTTCACTTAGTAAGTAAAGGTTTTACGGAGGAAAAGATTTTGTGACGTCAGTTCAAACAAAATAAGATTTTCTTCATGCAAACTTTATGACAAAGGAGAGGGAAGGGGGGGGGGGGGGTCAAAATTCTTATTTTACTTTACGTAATTAATGAACGATCCCTTAAAAAGTAATTCACATTTTTCAACCGTAAATAATTTTCTAGATGAATTTTATAATTACAATTGAGTGGTAAAACAGGCATTCTCTGGAACGAGATTAAAAAATTCTCATCTGGCTTGCATGAAGACTGGCTACATTGTTTAATGCATTTTTTTCTATAATGTAAAATTGCTAACTCATTATATTCGAGTTTTATTAAATAAGTATATATTCAGACGCATAGCCGAGGCAGGCTCTTAGGTTACATCAAGTTTTTAGACGTACTCGT